CTAGTAGAAGTCTAGTAGAATCTAGTAGAATTCTAGTAGAATCTAGTAGAAGTCTACTAGAAATTAAAAGCTTTGTCTGATCAAGTATTAATTATATATGGCTATTTTTTAGATTCTTTAAACTGTTTATTTTTATTTGCTGTTTTTTTACTTGCATTATTTTGCTTATAAGAAGCTAACGAGAAATTATCGGAATTAAACACTTTTAAAATCAGAATAACAATGTTATCCTTCCCATTTTTAATAATATCAAGGTTTCATGGGTATACCGTTGAAAAGCGGGCATTGTCATATAGACTTTGAGGGTCACTTGAAATTAATATTTAATAAAAAAAGATGTTCCCCTTTAATTATACCTGATACCAATATCCTTCATATGAATGGTTAGGTAAGGCTGAACGGCGTATGCTGCTGCAGAGAAGAAGAAAAGGGTCAATTTCAAGGGTAGAAGGGTCTACACATAAATAAACATTATGCACGAGAGCTGACAACTGCAGTACAATATACAGGGTGTCCCAAAAAACATGGGAATTCAGTGACGAATTCGATATCGTCTTTTCAAATAATTCTTTGATTTAGTATAGTGATACCTACTGTTATAATAAATAATTTAAATTCGTCATGCAAACAATTCACAATTATTCTGTAAAAGTAACAAAATTTTCCTTTTTTAGATCCTACAGTGGTAATTAGAAAATAATGGAATAGGAAGACGACATCTTAGCAATACTTAAGTGCTTTTGAGGTTGTTGCTAAGCAAATAGTTTTACTACAAACTCATTAAATAACTAATTAAGTGAAATGGGTCTGTTTACACTCAAAAATTGATTTGTCTCGTGTTCATTGGACTATTTAGAGTCATAACTTGAGTCTATAAGTCGTCTACATAATGATTTCCCATTCATTAAAGATTTATGAATAAGTATATGTCGTCATCTTTTCAGAACAAGTACGTTCATTTCCACAGTAAATAATCTTATACTTTCGATCCGTCTCTGTAGTATTGAGCTTTCAAAGGCCGATAGAACTTCTTAAGTTCTTACTTAAATCAAAAGGAAACTTTGTTGTATGACGACATTTAAAAATTGTTTCAGGTTTTTGACAAGTTATTGTTTAAAGGGAAAATGAAACGGGGTATTCATTGATAATTATATTTACTTTTACATGAGATCTGTACCACTATTAATTCTACTGAGGCCGAATTTAACGAATTTGAGCCGCGGTTTGAATTTAAGCCGCGGCTCAAATATGGTTTGTTCCACTTAAAATTGTACTACATTTTTCAAGATTTAATCCGGCGCTTAATTGAACCCGGTTTTTGGGGGATTTGAGACGCGGTTCATTAAATTCGGACATTGAAGTTTTAATTAAGAAAAAGTTGATTTAAAAAGGTAGCTCACCGAAACAAAAATCTTAAATATATTTCGCGATTATTTTTTTATGTTTACCTTATTTATTTCCAATTTCACCATGATGGTTATAATTGTTCCTTTTACACTTTATTCAATTTGTTTTATTAATCTGAAAGTAAAATAGTTTTTTTTAGTACATCAGAGACACTTCAGAAACTACAGCACAGTTATTTTAAGCATTAAAAACCCGATTTACTCTGATGTACGCATGGTTTAAAAAAATATATTTTATATGGTAGCCAGTGTCCAAAAAAACATAAAAACTATTATTTAGGTTTGCAGTGCTCTACAGATTTTGGACAGACGTTTTCTTTTTGTCGACAAGTTTTAAGATTTTTTTTCAATTGTACGGTCTTCCATGCCACAGCATTTGAGTCTTCTGGCAGTTGTAACGTTTTAAATGATAAATTTAGGGCTTTGAAATTACAATTTTTAAAAATCTGCCGCAATACACAAACGAAGAACTTTTAAAAGTTTATTAAAGCTCAATGAAATGTGTGTTCAGTTTAGATTCTGCTTTACGTTAATAATGCAAGGACATTTTTACATAATTTTACGCATTGATGGCACTGGAACAAATTCACAAATTGACAAAAGAATAAGAAAAGATGAGAAAAATCACAATATTAACTATCATTACCTGAGCCTTACAGACTAACTAAAAAAAATCTATTTGCAATTTTTCGCGTTAAATAGGGCAAATTTTCAGTTATGGCGCATCATTTTTATTGTTCATTATGTTTTCAAAAATAAGCCATTTTAAAGGAAATATTGAATTTACTTTTTGGGAAAATAATTTTAGCACTTAACATTAAAACGAATCGTCATTTTTTCAATTTAAAACTTAAACATAAAGTTCTTTATATATATCTTTTGCATGACGTCACTGGACTTTTTGAAATTATAATTTCAATGTACTAAATTTAGTATTGAAAAACGTAAGAACTGCAGGAAGACTCCAATGCTGTGGCATGGAAGACCGTACGGATTTGTGGCTCATGGCTGCCGGAAGACAAAAAAGATAATATGTGGCATGGAAGGAAAAAATGTTGTGGCTTATGGCCGCCTACCTTCCCACACTGGTCCGCAAAGAGCTAGTTAAAAAAAATCAAGATTAAATAAAGAGAACATTGAATAACGGTTCGGTCTCAGTATCAGCAAGCTGTAACTTTCGTTCTCATCTGACATATTAAATATTAATTTTTATCCGTTGATGCGTTTAGGTGAAAAGGTTTTAAAAAAGACAATTCTGTAAGAATTAGAATTATCGTATTGAAGACCAAAATGCGATTGAATTCAAATTAAAGAAACAAAATGCCTCTTATAGTCCTGGTAAGTCAATGGCGAGAGGGTTTATCTTTGCAGATGACATCACTTGTGATTACCACTTAATTCATGTTCCCTTATTTAAATAGTTGAATATCTGATTTACAATGGTACCCTTCGAACTTTTGTCATAGAAAAATTTGTTGGATTAGTATTTTTTTCCAAACGAAAATTTATTATTTTAAATTGGTTATCGGTATTCTCTGTAAATGTTACTGGGTAGATTTATGCAACAAGAGGCAGAATTTAAAGAATTTTAGCCGCGGCTTAAATATGGGTAGTTCCATTTAAAATTGTATTTAATTTTTCAAGATTTAAGCCGGCGCTCAATTTAAACCGGCTTTTTAGACTTTTGAGACACGTCTTAAATTCATTAAATTCGAACAAAGGAAAATTAAGGAAAGGAACTACAAGTCTTTGTCACAGACTCAAATTTTCAAATTTCCTATATCTTAACAACCTATTGGTGCAAACCTTTGAGTACGTGGATTATGTGATCTCGGCGAAAAAAATCATAATTTGAAATATCCAAAGTGTGCGATATTGAACTGCAAAAAAATAGAGATCAGAAAGCTTCTGTCAAAGTCTGAATTCCTTTGCACTGTTATTGAATATTGTAAATTGTAATGTCTTGTTAAGATTTTCTATTATAACGGTTAATATCAATCTATGAATGCATCAAATTAATGTTGCATTGGATTTAATCGTATAATGTATAAAAAAAATGAATTTTTTTATACAATTGTTTGCAATTGCAAGTTGCGAAAACTTGGTGTTCTTTTATCCTAATCCACGAAAGGAATACCCTAACCCAAAAATATTCTAACCCATTAATGAAGTACTCCGCCATCTGACACCAGAATGGATCCCCCCCCTCCTTATATAACCCCTGAAAGGAACAACTAGTTAATTCGAAGATTCTATTCAAGACTGAGTTTCTGAATGTATTGTACTAACCTTTAATAAGAACATTTGGGTGTTAGAAAATTACTTAATATTTCTTGTTTATTGTTGTTCATAGAGGACAAATAGAGAAAATGAAAGAACAGAAATGTTTTACTGTGTGTGAATTTCGGTGTGTCCCACCATGTCTAAATCACGTCAAATTGAAGTAAATATCACGTTATATTAAAATATTAAAATTTTTAAGAATATTGGTATGGAAACTGGCCAGTGGAGTGTGAAAAGTCATCTTCAATATTTGTATAGACATTTAGTGTTACCATTTAAAAGTGGTATGAAATAAAGGAAATATAAAGCCTGAAACTTATGTGAGTCAATCTACAGAGTATAGGAAATAAAGTATTTACAAGTAAAAAAGAAGAAATAAAATGATACTAATGAATCATGGAAAGCCAGAGCTCTCTGGCAGACTCTCTGCCTTTCATTCGCCTCGTACGACAAGCTAATCTTCAATCTTCTGACCCTTGGTGATAACTAACTTCAATTTTTGTTTTAGTCCAGCCCGATCCTATTTCCTTCACCCTGGTGTCTAGTTGTGTTTCAGGCCTATTGGCTTGAATTTAAAAAAGAACCCCGGGTCAACCGTGGTTTTGGTTTTTCACACGTTCAAATCTTCCATGATTTCAAATCATGCAATAAAAGCATGTATTCTG